CTTTTTATGCTGAGCATGGCATAATATGGTGTGGGGTATCCCTGTGGTCAGTCGGGGTCAGCTGTCCCAGCTGTGTCCCCTCCCAGCTCCTTGTGCGCCCCCAGCCTCCTCGCTGGTGGGGTGGGGTGAGGGGCAGAAAAGGCCTTGACTCTGTGTGAGCACTGCTCAGCAGTAACTAAAACATCCCTGTATTGTCAATGCTGTTTTCAGCACAAATCCAAAGCATGTCCCCATGCTAGCTGCTGTGAAGAAAATGAACTCTATCCCAGCCAAACCAGCACAGGTAGAAAAAGAGGTTATTTATCAGAGGTTATCATTCTCGAAGATGCTCAGTCAGTGGGCAGATTAATTTACAATTATCTTTCCCATTCTTCACAGAACCCTTTTGGTGATGCCAGCTGAAAGGGAGCTAACACAGGTGTGCTCTGCTTATACTGAGCATGAGCATGTGTGGGGGTGCCTGCGCATGTTGGGGTAGCGCATAAGTAAAAAGGTCAATCAGTTATCCTGAATGATGGAACTAATAAGATAACCACATGACAAAAAAACCCCAACCCCAAAACAGTATAGCTAGACCAGAGATTGCCATCGTTTGAAAGTGTTGGGTCCACTCTTTTTCTTTTGTCTCTGAATATTCTGAGACATGTAGTAGGACAAGTGTTGAGCGTCTACAGACACCTTTCCATTGCCTATAGACACCTTTTCATTACCTAGGACAGAGAATTGTGATGGTCGTGCTTCCTATTAGCTGGAGTAAAATAGGTTCTATTGGATGTGAGAAGCAGAAAAGTAAGAGGCAGCTGGGGCTTGCTAGTTTTGGCCCAGCTTTCCGGAAAGAAGCTAGCATTTGCAGAACTGTTAAGATTGCATCCTGTTACTCGGAGGGAAGAGGTGAGAAAACGTAATGCTGTAGATTCAGAGAAAAGGGGTACCTTTGGAGTTGGGTATCTCACATTTGGCAGTGTCTCTGAGATGAGCTGCTCCCAATTAAAAGAGACCCTGCTTTTCCTGCTGCCTTCCATATATACGGCAAACACCATCTTAGCCAGAACTGCCTCCTTAACATAGCACACTGTTCTGTCACCCTAGCTTCCCTAGGGATATTTCCTTGCCCTCCTTTCACAAGAATTTCCTAAATCACATGCCCCTGGGAATCCTGAACATGGATCTATATCCCAAGACTTCCAGCACAGTCCAGCTCAGACTGTATGCCAGGAGTCTGATCACAGCTTAGCCTGAGGGAAACAGTTCCCAGTCCAGCCCCATGTGCTGACACCTTCCTTCCATTTGTTTTTTAAACTTGGACTGATTCCTGCACCTCACCCTTCTCTTTCTCAGTTTCTTATTCAGATGAGACAAGTGGTTCCTGTAGAGTAAGCTAAGGAGGAATTCACTTGCCTCTATGTTTTGTGACTATAGCATACTAAGTAAGGCACAATCCGTAATTAAAACAAAATTGTGTTGTTTTCTAAAATGGTGCTTGCTAGCTCAGCCAGAAGCTAAGGCATGAAAAACAGTGGCTGAAATTCTCTGGCAGGTGTTTCCCAGACCAGGCCAGATGTCAATACCTTATTATGGCTTTAAATTTTTATAGATAATCTTACTGGCAGATGTCTTCATAATTCCCATGAGTTGATGGCTGTCTTGTACAATAATCCTTCTAGTTAGAGGTACTGCTTTAATTATTCTGTTTTGTGTAGATGCTGTTTTTCTTATTCCTGCTTACAGCTAGGTTTGTCAAATTGTTTTGATTTT